AACCACTCCCGGCTTTTCAGTTTTGCTGTGCAAAATACCTCAGTCTCGGTCAGTCCATCATGCTCCTTGATTCTCCATTTTCTTCCGGGTCTCGTTAGGCCTTCAGGGACCCATGCACGCTGTGACACCAGTGATCCTTCCCCCTCCATGGGGACCAACTCGGGCCCCAGGGACAGCAGGCGCAGGATGTCCCTCCCCTCTTTACGGGGACCTGCCGCCGCCTTCCTCCCGAGTGCTGCTGGCACTGTGCTTACACGGTGTCCTGGGTGTGCCAGGTGCATGATGTGCTCAAGAGGACAGAGACCCCCCTCAGCAGCGAATGCAGCCTGCTCCCGAACTGCTTGGCTTTCCTTCCCCGTCCGGGCACTGGGTGCTTTGCACAGCAGATCCGAACGGGAGGATCCTCCCCATGCTGCCAGTGACACAGCTCCCCACCAAGTCCTCCTAAGTGAAGTGACCGTTCACAAGAGCATTCCTCTCCAAGTCAGCCAAACCCCAGGCAAAGTGGGGGGTGTGGTCTTCCACTGTACCACCCGAACAAACCTCAGATGGGCTTCCCAGACCAGCCGCTGTACTTGATTCATTGTAGGGCATAGACCAAAGCAGCCCCCCGCCCCCCGCAGTCTAGAGCCCCTCAGATATTCTGGGCTGCCGTTTCCTCTATCCGTGCCCTAGTTCCTGGGATGATGGGAGCAGTGGTCCGGAACATCCAGTGGACACGGCATGAAGTACTGAAAGGGGCCACTGCTTTCCGGAGTGAGCACTTTCTCTGGGGGCCCAAGTGGCACCCTCAGCATCATGCAGCATCGCACTCTCTGCTCTCCCGCAGCGCGCGCTCAGCCCGAGCATCCTTTGGGGAACTGCTGTGGGCGGCAGCAGCTCCAGACTCCGTGGACACGGAGCCTGAACACACCTCACAGATGCCCAGCAGCAGGAAACGCACCGGGCATTACCGAGCTTCTCAGAGCCCCAAGAAACGTCCAAGAAAACAGAATCACCTTGGATGCAGTTTCCCATCTTCTGATGTTTCAGAAACAGTTACATTCTCATTTTAATGCAACAGTTCATTAACCAAACATGCAACCCAAATATTTTGTCTCATTTCCTTATATCTAACACTGAACAAAATGGGCACTGCAGTCCCCAGAAGACCATTTCAAAAGCTCTGACAAGCGTTTGCTCAGTGACCCTGCAGGGGAAAGGAAAGAGGACATAAGGCGATCATTTGCATGTCGCTGTGATCTGATGGCATGGCATGTGTCCCTAAACAAAGGCACTGGCAGGGAATGTCCTGCACAATGGAGAATGCAAAACAGTGACGAGGATTTAGTGCAAGCAGGGAGATTCTTACTGATAAGCCCGGAGGGGGCATGACAGCGAGCGAGCACGCTTCGCTGGGCCACGTCAGCTACACACGCACGTGTGGGGAGGGGCCACAGTGCAGTCCCTGCGCCAGATGCCAAAGGTCCCGGGCATCTCCAGGTGAGGCCAGGCTGGCCTGCCTGAGCCCAGAGGACCTCTGCTGTCAGCCAGGAAAGACAGAACTGACTCAGCACGGAGCAGCTTGCAGGCTCCCGTTTCCACAAATCCCACTCCGCAGGATCATGCGGTTTCCACAAGCAGAGTTCCAAGGCTGCCCTTCACACATCCTTACCTGGGATCCTGTTGTCCAGTGCTACCCCTTCCATAAAGTGGAATAACTTTGTCGCGGCTGATTCCTGCTTTGCACACTGGACACACCTGCCTGTTGGGTCTGGTCTCCAGCCACTGGAGGCAGAAAAAAGAGCAGGACCGAGTAACGCGCTGGAAAGCCAGGGAAAGAATGTGCTACAGTGACCACAGAGGACGGAGCACCGTGCAAGGGCAACCAGCCAGGGGCATGCTGCCTGCAGAGCGCCAAACTGGCTTCCCTCTGCCAGAGCAGGCGCCATGCTCCTGATAGGCCAAACCAGGTTTACTGCATTTGCATATGGAGGACAGATGTTTCCACCACTTGTGTGTGCGTGCGAGTGAGTTGGTACATGCAAGAGGCTATGTCTTCTCATGTCCCAGCTCAAACCCATGGACTAACATGTCGCCATTCCGCTCCACCCCACACCATACAGAAGCTGGCGTAGGGCCTGAGATAAGAATTCCTGGTCCAAAACTCACCTTCACCATGAAGCCACTAAATGGCCCTTAAGTGACCACCTCAGCATTCTGGAGACATTAATTCTAACCTGTCTTACAGAGGTGTTGTAGGGGTTGGGTTGCCAAGAGAATGTACACCACATGCTCTTAACCCCCCAAATGTAGGAGAATGGCCCTCTTCCTCACCTGGTGCCACCTACTTGCACCATAGGAACACCCTATAAGAGGTAAAGGCCTCGCCCCTCTGCAGCTGGTCCCACATGCCAGGGCTGAGAACATGGGCACAGTTGTGGCCCGCGTGGGGGGTTCCCACTGGGGCAGAACGCTGGACTAGACAGGCCCTTGGCCTGATCTGAGAGAGCTCTTCTGATCTTCTTAGCAAACTGCAAACAATTGCATGCTGACATTAATCTCCATATTGGGCCCCACTAGGGAGATTCGACATGCGGTGCATTTAGGAATAGAAAGGCACATCGCACCTTCTCACAAAGCCCTGGAGAGCAGAGGAGGCGGATTGTGCAAGATTAGCTGATGAAAGACAAAGTAAAAGACAACCAGCCTTACCTGGTGTAAACAAGGCCAACTGTTGGGATCCCCAAAGTGTCCACAGGCCAGGAAGGGAGCAGAGGGGCGAGGAAAGAAGCAGAGTACGCTTGGTGTTACATATGAGCAGCACAAGGCTGGAATCCAGCCAGACAGGTTCCACAGTCACACACTAGAACAGCTCTCGCAAGGTGAAAAGGAACCAAGAGACTGAGACAAGCCTCACCCTTTAAACAGGGCCTTCCGCAAGAGCCCTCCACAGTGCCAGGCCAGGCCTCGGCCTGAGAAGGGCGTGATTGAGGGAGGGGCACGCCCAGAGCATGCCAGCAGCTCACATCGCGGGCAGACTGCCCCTGAGCCCACCAGCTCCCCCAAGGTCTCTGAGCCGCAGTGCCGGGGGGGCACCCAGGAATTCCCTCCGGAGTCCCAGGGAATGGGCAGGCACAACCTTTGGACCACCACCAATACAAGAGATCCTGGGACTGCACAGGCTGCTCCACAGGCTCCCCCCACAAGTGGCCTGACTCTGAATTCCACCCCAGTCCCAGCCAGCCTCCCAGTAAGCAGGGCAGGTTTCTGAATTTGTGGCAAGGAGATGCATAACGGGGCAGAGATGCACCCTCACCCTCCTGTGGGTCTTCAACCCCATTTATATTGTGCCTTGGGGGGAGGGGGGAGAAAGAGGGAGAACCAAGGTTCTGGAGCTTTGCCTTTTCTTTCAGCTAGCAAATAGCTCTCCTGGGTGACAAAAATGAACGAGAGAGAGAGTGTCTCTTTCACACAGTCTTACTGGGCATACACTTAGAAATGGATACAAGTCAGGAGAGGCTTGAGATCCTTTCAGTTCTTGCCTGGAGGTAGCTCAGTGTCATATTCAATTAGTCAATTATTAATTTAGTGTGAATGGACATGGCCACAGTAATGTGGCTGCTGCCAAAAGAGATTTCCACAAAGTCGAGGGAAGACCAAGAACTTTTCCCACTGGAGTCACATAAGGAAATCCATGGGTGTGTGGCAAAAAATTTGGCCAAAGCTCAGTGAAGACAGAAGCACCACACATGGGCAGCAGCTCCAGCAGGGTTTCAACCTGCAGCCTTCCCACCTCTCCAATGAAAAATACCAGGGAAGCGCTCTCTCTCTCTTTCGCCCTGCCTCACTCCCAGCAGGCAACAGCTGCTTGGAGAGATGATTCCGTAAAGTGGCATGGAAGCATTCCTATGAGCGGACCAGCTGGTCCATGAACCTGACTGGCAGCCCCGTGTTTTCCTCTCGGAGCACGCGCATGTGCCTCCTCCGGCTCAGACACTGTCTGTCATCCATTGTGGAACACCTTCTTGCCTAGTGCTCACACCACTCTGCTGAAAAGTCAACGGCGGCTGTTTTTGCCCACGATTCAGCTACTTAAGCCAAGAGTTGCCAGCCAAAGCATCCAGAGGACCATCCTTTGCCTCCCACCTGCTTCAAGGTCTCTTGAGCTAACAAGAAACTCTCCAGGAGCACATCTCTCTGTAGCGGCTGTGCAAAGGGAAAAACAGAAAAAGAGCTGGCCGTGGAACGTGTCACACTCTAAGGTGGCCACGGCACTGGAGCCAAGGGAGCTACGGAGGGGGAGAGGTGGGACCAGGAAGACAGCATTCTTGCTGTCTCACTGAGTGAGTTAGGCAACATCAGAGGGCTACATCCTGGACCACGGCCAGGATCACTGAGACTCCTCTTACTCTGGGACTGGTGTGCGCCACAAATGCACCTGCAGCCATTTCATACATTCCGATGCCATTCAATGACTGCCACTTGTTCCTGTGGGGAAGAAGGTGTGCAGCTGCACTTGGGGCAGCAGTGAGGTTAAGCCTGGACATTTGCACCTCGTGCCTGACAGGGCCAGTGCTGGGGAACGGGGATGAAGGGATGCTCGGCCACTTCCCCCAGGGGTCCCTGAAATACAAACGTACTCCTTAGGAACATGGCTGAAGACTCACAGAGCAGCTGTCCAAAGAGTTCATGTGTTGCCCCTGTGCCTTAATTACAGTATTTAAAATAATTAAATACACAGCTCAGAGTATTTGGGAGAGATGGCAAATGAAGGATTGAACCCCACAAGTAGGACACTGACCAGAAGAGGTGCCCACACAGGCTGATCACAGCATCCTTGGCAGTGTCCAAGCAGATGTTGCACTCAAAAGTGCTATCCTGGCCTGCATTATCCCCGTTGCTGCTGCTGCCACTGGTCCCACCAGCATTGGAGCTCTCTGAGGAAGCAGAAGCTGCAGGCCCTTTGCTGGCCATTCCTGGCTTTTCTTCTGGCCCAGCCAAGAATCTGTATTACAACTGAAAAAGGAAGACTCCAAAGTCACCATTATATTATTTTGCAGATGTGGCCACAAGCACAGTACCAGAGGCTACTTCTGCACGACAGAAGCACTCAGGACAGGTTTTGGTCAGACTGAGTTCAGCCAGTTCCAGAAATCCTGGATGGCCTCAGCAACGACTTGGCATGGATGGGGCCAAAGAAACATCCAGCCCCCCCCGGGTTGAGCAAAGCCCCAGCTGCTCTCGGCCACAAACATTCCACTCATAGCTTATGGATGGTCCCCAAATGCACTGCATGGTATTAGCAGTACTATATTCATGCCTCACCTTTTTCAGGAGGCTCAGAGCAGCATTTTGCTAGCAGAGCCAAGCCCAAGGACAGGCTTAACAAGGCTGGAAGACGGCTGAACTACTCACAGCTCCTGGCATGGAGCAGACTGCGCAACACATAATTCAGCAGACTTTCTCTTTGGCTCCCAATCTGCCTCCTGCATGCTGTGAGCAGTGATTATGCTGAATGGCCATGGGCAGGCAGAGTAGGAGGGAGCACCTGGAGCAGACATGGCAAAGAGCTTTGCCACAGTGGCTCCTTAAGCCCAGAGGGTGGCACTGCCCGCGCATTTCTTGTAGTTGCTCACATGGCAAGCAGCCAGTTCCATGTGTTCCGACTCCTGGAGGCAGGGTAGGCTGGCATGGTTCCCCTTCCACTTGCCTTGCTGCTTCCCCTGGTCAACAAGAACAGGGGAAAGAAAGGCAGCGGCACAGTCTCTTGCTTCTATAAGGTTAAAGAGCTATTCTTAGGCCTTGGACTCACTAGGAGAAGAAAAGGGTGAGCTAGCCTTCTCCAGCTCTTGAGATCACTCTGGAAGGAAGACTTTTGATATCTGAAGTGTGAGAAGCCAGAATCCCTCCTCGCTTCCCATGGAGCTCCAGGGATACATCCAGTCTTGCAAGTAAGTACAGAACAGCTGCTAGCTCCCCAGAACTTTCCATGATCCTCCTTGGTCTCTGTCCTAAAAGCTTATCCATCTCACCCCCTGCAAGCCCTCCTCACTTGCTGTAAGTCAGACATGGGCAAGAAGTAGATATGGGAGTGGAAATCCAAAACCAGCATGAGATCTACCTTCTGCTCACCCCTGCCTTGGGGGATCAAGTGTGTAACCACTTACAAGTTTGAATTTCTGGGGCAGGAACAAATACACAGAAGAGCACAGCCAGAGAAGAGCCAAAATGCTGATGAAGGTTTCCAAGTATTTATATCTGCCACCTCATTGGCCTACCGAAGGCAACTCTACTGGACGATTACAGAAAAAAAATGGAAGCAGGAGAAGACCGGAGCAATTCACTTAGGGAGCCGACTGCCAAGCTTCTCCAGCAGCAGCAGGTATCTAAACATTCAAATTACCTTTTCAGCCCAGAACCAGCAAGAACCTGTTGCTCTACTTGAGTTTCTTGGACTCCCACCTGCATTCAGCTGGGAAAGGTCTGTTTGCCTCTGATTTCTCAGGGTGAAATCCTCTGTCTCACAGTGGATGGTGGGAACACTACGAGATCCCTTTCGAGAGGGGCTGGAGCAGGAGACGTAGGTCAGCACTCGGATCCTGTAAAGTCTGGCTGCTTTCTGCGCCAACAGAAGCGGATCCAGCGGGGGGCCAGTCCGTGTTAGGGTGTCTGCTCAGTCAACTCCTACCTTGCCACGCCTTATGCTATTTCAGTCTTCCCCAGCCCTGCCATGTCACCATGCCCATGGAGGGCATGCTGGCTGAGGATGACGGGAGTCACCGTCCAGCACATCAGGAGGGTCCCAGGTCAGGGAGGACTACTCTGTTTATATCATAGAGGCAGTCTGTGAACATTGAGATTCTAGAAACATCACTTTCACAGACACAAGGCTTCAAGGTATCAAAACATGGTTGCCAATCAGTTACAACAGCATCCACCTTCTATTCCAATTCAAAAGCCAAGAACAAGCAAACATCAACCCTGGCAGCACAATTTATTCGATTTCACTTTTCATGGAACTGCCAAACAATGACAGATTTTTAAAATGTGAAATTAGACAACTTTTGGCCAACTCCATCATAGGTGCCTGTTGAGGTTATTGAAGGACACCTAAGGTATGTTATGATTTAATCCACACACTCATTATTAGCAGGGGAGGCTTTTTTTAAGATTTCCTTTTTCATTTCCTGCCACAGCATCACACCGGAACAAAGGTAATTTCACCAATTGAATAGGACTGAGCTTAGCACTCAAAAATTAAAATTTGCCTGTTGCTTATAAATATTAAGTATAGTTTGTAGTTGATGAATCCACCAATTAAAAGTGAATTAAAGCTTCTAGTCCTAGTAAAGCTAAAGGATACTTTGGAACATGTAATAGACATAGCTGAGAAAATCCACAAGAGTCACCTTCAAGAGCCATCAATGGGCCCTCGAAGGAAAGAATCATATCCTTCAAATTCTTTCTTATGAAAGAATCACAATTTTGCCAGCTTACCTGAAGTGTGTCCAGCCCTTCTGCTAGTTTTCCCTGCAGAGATGCCTAAAGGAAAGCACACACAGCAAAGGCAAACCTCCTTATCTCTCCGCAGGTCATACAAAAAATGTCATTTTTGCACAAGGCAACCCAACCCAACAGAGGATCTGAAAAGGAGTCATGCCCACATCCCAGAGCACAGCAAGTGGGAAAGAGAAAACATCTATTTCAACAGAACTCTTTTCATTCAGTTACATCATTTTGCTGGAAGTTCCCAAAGGGCAGCCCTGCAATCCACTAGCAAGCCTTAATGGACATGGCTTCTGAGTTCTGCAGATGTTCAGTAGTTCATCCATTTCCAGTGAAGTCTTCACCCACATTTGGAATGGAAAACTGCCAACTGGCACACAGAAACTCTTCTTTATTCAGCAGGCAATTCTCCTGAGGCTTGATGCTGCCAGCTTACAATATAGGCCTAATCTGGATGTTAGCCTTCCACTGAAATGCTTGCACTCACTGGACCGTCAGCTCTAGCCCCCTCCGCGACCCTGAGTCTTGCGCCCATCCTGGCAGCATAATCCGAGGCTCAGTGCATTCACTGTCTCGCAAGCAAGCAAGGACAGCACTGCAATTGTCTTTAGGAGTGCAGTTAGGATTACAGCTCACGTCAATTTTTCTTTCTTGTTCTCTCTTGTTTTATAGGTGGAGAGAAATACCATTCAATAGAAATTTTATGTCAAGTTTGTAAGAAAGTTACTTTCCTGGTCCTCTGTGACAACACAATGTTTTGGATGCATCCTGCGTTGTTCACTGGATGAAGCAAGCTAACAATAAATAAATAAATACCCAGAGGATTGGGTTGAAAAAGTCTCAAGTGGGTGCTCAGTCAGATCTCTAAAATTCACATTTGACTCTCTTGCTTTTCAAACGTTTCTTTATCTCCTAAAGAACCTGATTATTTTTTCTGACTATGCCTAGAAACTGCACAACTTGAAGGAAGATAGTATTACGAAAACTTAATATAATCAACTGAGAATGTGTATATTTTGTATTCTCTCCTAGCAAACGGATGGTTAACAATATGTAAACCATTTAATATGCATTCTTCTACATACAAGAAAATGAAAGAGAAGCTAAGATAGCCAGTTAAAAAGGCACATAAATTATTTTCCATATCTGGAATTGTTACATAATCAAAGGCTTAGGAAATCTGCACAAGATGCAGTTACTTCAAAAAAAGGTAACTTGTTTTGTTTTAAAAGGTGGCTATAATTCTATTTACACATGGAATTGAGCCCTGTAAAACACAGTGGGGAAAAATTATTATTATTATTTAAAACATTTCTATGCCGCCCCCATCGCAACAAAGCCTCGGGGCGGCTCACAAAGAATACATAAAACATACATAAATAATAATAAAGCAATTAAAAGAAAAAAAACAACAACATTTAAAAAACCCCGGTGCATTCTCGGCTAAAAATTTTAAAATTCTAATTAATACAATAATTTAGCAATTAAAATAAGTTTTAAATAAAAAGGTCTTAGCCTGGCACCGAAAAACAAATAACGACGGCGCCAGGCGGACCTCTCTGGGGAGCGCATTCCATAGATGGGGCGCCACCACAGAGAAAGCCCTCCTCCGGGTACTCACCCTCCTTATATCATTCACAGAGGGTTAAGCACAGGGTGCAAGTCAGGAACACTCTTTTGTCATTTAACTTTCACACATACAAAACTTTTTTTGGAAACAGTGAGAGGACCAAAGTCCAGTTTACTTAAATGTCTACACCATCTTGGGCAGCTTCAACCAATAGTCTTCGCAAAAATGCTGTAGTTATGAATGTACAAAAAATGTGGAAGTCCAAAGGAATTTTACTGACAACAGTTGCACACAATTTGATTAACTATATCAAAGAAGCAGAGCTAAGATCCATTCACACAGCACTTCCCATGTGCCACTAAACAGACTGAATGTTCTGGGGCATCTGAATGCATGCATTCGTGCGCTGAGGAGATGATGATTAAATTGCACTTACATCCTGCCTTTTCCCCTCCAGTGAGGAACACAAGGTGGCTTAGCAGTAAGGACCATCACACTGGCAGGGACAAGAGATAAAGCCATTTCAGTGGCAGCCCATCACCGTGGAAGTCTTCATGGGATGTGTGCTTGACTCCCTTGCTTCCTGCTTTTACGTGTGTCAAAGATGCCAGGAGAGCATCCCAAGAACCATGAGGTTCTCTGGAATGTCCCTCCAGGCCCACAGTCCCTTCAGCCTCAGGAGGGGGTTCTGGTATCTTATTCCTCCTCACCACCTGCAATTGCTGCAGAAAGAACAGTTGCTGCCTGCATTCTGAGGTTCTAAAAGCACAAGGAGCCCTAGGGAGGTCTGCAGAAGAGTATGTGGAGGGAAGGGAGCAAGAATGGTCAGGATATGAAGAAACATATCCTTTAACACCCATCTAGAGTGAGAACGCAAGGACAGTAAAACAGGAATGTGTACATCACCTCTGCCACTCCCCAAGGCTGCAAACAGCACATTTGGATATTGGAACCATGGAAACTTCAGAGTTAAGAGGCTCCCATCTGATAAGATGGGAACACAGGATGGCACACTCCATTGCCTGAACATTTAAAGTCTACTTTTAATTGAACATGTTCATTGTAAGTTATATTGTAACTGTTGCTGCTATTTCACTATTGACAAAGTGAAAAAATGGGTTTTTCTTTTCAAAATCATGCCATTCTTTGATAGCATAATCCAAATAATAAAAGCAAACCATTTTGAGAGAATAGTCTCCATTTGAAAGGCAAGGCAGAAATCCCAGCCCGCGGCTGCTGCTTCCAAACAGTGCCCCCTTCACGCGTTCAGGACGCCACAAGGGCGGCTGTTCTCCAGAACCAGCATGCGGAAACGGGTCCACAGCCCCGACCCTGGAGCTCCGCTGAGTAGCAAGTTCCACAGAGCTCCCCTCCTCACTGAGCGTGTCCCGCTTGCCCTGGTCCGAGCAGCTCTTCCCCCATCGTGGCAAGGGCCCCGCTCGGGGCGATCAAGGCTCCCCGGCATTTGGCTGACGGGCCCCCTTCGAGCTTCTCCAAGCAGGCCCGCTGCCGCACAGCGCCCGGAGAGCGTCGGTCACCGAGCCGGGGAGAAGCCGAAGACCCGGGCAGCAACACCCGCCCCCATCTCGTCTCAGCGGCCTTCCGCAACCGGGGCCGGCAGATGTCCCGGGCCACGGCGCCGTCGTGCCAGCAGCGCGGCTGGGCTGCGGAGGCCGCGTCCCCGTGGCCGCCCCACAGCCAGGCCCACCAGCCCCGGGAGCCCCGCAGAGGGACCGGGCGCCGCAGCCGCGCCCGGGACTCTTCCGCTTTCCGCTGCCGCCCAGCCACTCGCGCGCCCGCGCCCAGCCGCCCGGCCCGGCCCGGCCCGCCCCCTCCTCACCGGGGCAGTCGCGGAGGCTCCTGGCGGCACCGTCGCCGCCCCGGTCTGGGAAACTCCACGTCGCCCCGAGCCCGACGGCAACGGTCACCTGACCCCCCCCAGGAAGTTGTCTGCACCGGAAGCGGGCGCCTTCCTGGGCGCCACGGCCCGGCGCGGCGGCGGCGAACCGCGGTTCTGGGCTCCCTTCCTCGGAAGAGGCCGCCCCGGCCATGCTGGCAGCCGGTGGGGGAGTTGCGACCCCAACGTCTGGAGGACCCAGTGGGGCAGCCGAGCGCTACGCGCTCCTGGGAGAGCAGAGCCGGCCTTCCCCGGCACTGCCTTTCCCGGCGCGGGGCTGCTGGGACTTGCAGTCCCAGGCTTCGGGAGGCACACAGGTGGGCGGGGCGAGGAGCTGCCGCCAGCGGCGGTGACGTGCCCCTCTTTCCGGCGCGGCCGTCTTCTTCTGCAGCGGCACAGGCCGCTGCGCCCCCCGCTCCGCCCGGCGGCGAAGCCCCCGGGCAGCTGAGCGGCCGGGACCACAACCCCCAGCAGGCCCCGCGGCCGGGCCGACCGGCATGGCGGAGGGCGGCGGCAGCAGCAGCGAGGACGAGGCGGCGGCGGCTTCGGCCTTGGCGCGCTTGCGGGAGGCCACCTGGGAGCCGGCGCGGTCACGGAGTCCCCCGGCCGGTAGGAGGAGATTTCGCCGCTCAGGCGCGCGAGCCCTGCCGGGAGCCCCGAAGCGCCGCGCCCCCGAGTCTGGCCGCTGTGAGCGACGGGTCGCCTGGGTTCTCGCGCCCCCGCCGCGGAAGGCGCCTCGGAGGCCGCTGCAGCCCGGCCGGGGCGCTCGCTCGCTCGCCCGCTGGCGCCCAGGGTCTGTTCTTAACCGGGTGCCGCTGCCGCTTCGGGAGCAAGTCACCGGGGCGCGCGGGGATCGCGCCCTCAGGCCTCAGCGCGCGGCGGGCCTGAACACGGAGGCGCCAGTGCAGCCCGCGGGACCCGAGTCTGGCGCTGGAGGAGCCGGCGCAGCAAGGCCGCCGCTCCGCGCCCACGGAGCCGCCCGGGAAAGCCCTGCACCTACCCTCCCACCTGCCGCGATTGGTGCAAGGGTCCCCGGGGGATCAGCGCGATCGGAGGGCAAACCTGGCCGTGCATCCGTGGTGATGCTCGGTTACCTGCACCCATCCTCCGTCCCGAGGCCCCGTTGCAAACGGTGCGCCCACCCATGCATTTTTTTTCTGACAGGATTCACTGTGCTGGCTTGGAGTGAGTTCCCATACAAGATATCAGGAGGACGCCAGGCTGGATGGCAGGGGCTGATTTACAGGAGCAGTTGCTTGGCACGTGTGGGCCCAACCACTGCCCTGTTTCTCCTTCCTCCTCTGTGGGGCCTTTCATCCCGCTCTCTTGGACCACCACAACTTGCTTCAGCCCTTAGATTGTTCTTCCATCACTTTCCAACCCCTCCACCCCAGAAATTGTGGCTAACAGCTGTTGTGACCATGCAATAAACTGGTTCTGCCTTGGGGGGGGGGGGTGCCTAGGGCAGGAGTAAAGGAAATCTTTATTGTTAGAGGGCAGCAGGCAAAATACGAAATGGGAGCCCACTTCCCAGGAACTGTCATGTTCCACGGGCCCCTCTTCCCTTGCCTGGCTGAGCTAGGAAAGCCTTCCCTAGCAGAATGTATAATAAATACTGCTTGGCAGCCTCCTCCACTGTGACACGTTCCAGACATTTTAGAAGACAGGTCCCAACTTTCCTGGCCATTGACTGCTGGCTGAGGCTGGAACCATGATGACTGGCATACTTTAGCTCAGGATGGACAACTTGGTGCCCCCCATTCCTCGTGCTAGCTGAGGTTTAATGAAACTGTCAAAGCCGTGCAGAGAACAGCAGTGTCTCTGCTGTGTTGCAGGTTCCTTAACAGAGTTCAATTTTCTGATCAGGTTTATGTTCAAGAAGGACATTTATTCATGAGTAAATTTGAATGTGCCAAGCTATTTCTAACTGTGACTATTTTAATGTATTAATGTATTTTTAAAAACTTTCAGGTATATTTAAGAAGCGCAAGTTCCCATCAGCTGAACCTAGCATCAGGTATCTTTTGTGCTCTAACAGTTTTCTGGGCTTTCAGACTGTGTGAGGACCTGCTTTGCATGCAGGAGGGCCCCGGCTGGGTCCTCAGCATCCAGGAAAGGATGCTTCCTAAAGGCATCAGGAACCTTTGCTGCCACCCCGTCGACAGTGTTGGACTCGATGGGCCCGAGTCTGCTTCAGTGTAGTGCAGCTTCCTATGTCCTGTGTAAGGCAGCGTAATTGCATCAGTAGAAAGCAAGATCTGATCTACATAGTCATGTGAATTATGTAGTACAGCCCAGGTGAGTTGTGTCTCCTCAAATACAGTTGGAACTCTCCTTCCAGCCACCCACACAAATGCCCTAGGCAAAATCTAGGCCCGGCCATTGAGATTGTGCCTCTGCAAGGTCAAGGTGTGTTTGATCCAGGAGTACTCCATGGTACACTTCTTTATCTGATTTTTGAGCTGGTAGAGAAGAGGTGCACTTTGGACTAAAACTTCCAGGAGCCCAACACTGCTGGACGGTGCCAGACTGGGGAAGGCTGAGAGTCCCTGGAGGGCTTTTCCATCCCCACCTCTTGCAGCTATAAATGATGTATTGAACCGTGGCTGCTTGATGTAATGTATTTATTATACTGATATCCCACCACTTTTGGTGCAAGGAACCCAAGGCAGCTTGCATAATCCCCCACCCTATTTGATCCTCACAGCAGCCCCAGGAGTTAGGTTAGGCTGAGACTCAGTGACTGGCCCATGGTCGCTGAGTGGGGACTGGAGCTCAGGTCCCCCAGCTAGTCCTCTTGCCACCACGCCACCATGCTGGTGGATGGGAAGGGGAAAAGCCAGCGTACGCAGAATCCCGTGGCCCGTTCTATCCCTTCCCTGCCTACCAGTCGGTAAGTTCCTGGACAGGCTGGGAGGCCTGTCCAGCTGCTTTATACCATCCTGAGGCAGAGAAAAGAAGCTGTTTGGCCTTTCTGCTCTGCCTGACCCTTGCCAGCTTGCCGTAGAGGGCTCCAAACTCAGGGCACCCTGTTAAGCGCGCAACCCATAGGACTGGGTCCTTGGCCTTTCTTTATAGCAGGCCCCAAGATGGTGCTCTCCAGATGCAGTGACTACAGTGCCCAGAACGCCAGGTGGCTGGGGGATGGTGGAAGTTGCCGTCCAGCACAACTGGAGGGCATGGAGTTGGGGACGGTGCATCAGCCCTCGACAGGGTGTGGCGTCTCCTGTGCCAGCCACCGCAGCCTCAGGTGCGAGCCCAAAACCACGGGGCCTCAGACTACGGCCCGTGGGACGGATCCGGCTCGCTATGGCCATCCATCCGGCCCGTGCTGCTGTTCACTGCCCGCCCGCGCGCACGCTTGCTGCATGGATGGAGAGGTGGTGGCTTGCGCGCTCGGAGATGATCTCTGAGTGAGCGAGCCGCCGCCACCTGCCTCCTGTACGCACGCGCTCGCCGCTGCATTGCAGTGCGGGCAGGGAGGTGGTGGCTTGCTCGCTCAAAGATGGTTTTGGACTCGCTGGGAGATCTCCGAGCGAGCGAGCCACTGCCGAGTGTGCCCGACGCCACCTCACATGCGCCCGACAGCGCCTCTCCGGCCCGCACCCCCACCTCACCGACCCGCAACAGTCACCGCAGCCTTTCAACTGGCCCCCTATTCAAAAAGTTTGAGGACCCCTGCCCAAGACCTTTCTTGGAACATCTGCATTCACCTGTGCATACCTGTCCTACATCTTACTGCCCGCAAAAATGTCTTGTCCTTGTTTTTTAAAAAGATTGGTTTGAAAAACAAATGCAATGAAACAATTCATTGCTAGTACAGAGGCTGACCTTTTCCAGCTGTTCCCGTTCTCTTTGCTTATCACAGTCCTGCTAGGACTACGCTGGTGCCTTTGCTGAGGAACTTCGACAAAAGTGTTTGGATGCCCAGTTGCATTACTCATCTCAAGTAGCAGAAACCACAGCAGCTCTTCCCTGGCAGGGCTTGTTCTTCCGCACGGCCTGCTTGGGCCAGTCATTCTGGCTTTAAGGATGATGGTCCCCGATCTGCCTCCTGAGGGCACCAGGCTGGGGAAGTTGGACTACTGGGGTTCCCACGTACCACCTGCCAGATGCTTTGGTCTTCAGTGCCGAGAGTCCTGGAGAGCATGGTCAAAGGCCAGGTGTGCTGGGCACTGCAGTCCAAACTATCCGGGGGGCCCACAGTGCAGGCAGCTGGACTGACTGCTCTGGAGCCCTTTTTCAAGCCTAGCAGTGCCGTCTTACCCACGTCTCCTGAAAAGTAACCTCCACCGAGTTCAGTGGGATGTACTCCCAGGTAAGCGCGTAAGATGCATTGTGGGAAGGTTGGATGCCTGATCTTTATGCCTTGCCTTGGTCCAGCTGCATTTTTGCCGTGCACACATGCAGCTCTGCGGCTGTCCCCGGGAGCTGTTCTGAGCCATCACTGGAGGAATTTCCTCCAAGACAGTCATTCCAGTGTTCCAGGTCTTGTTTGTGCTCTTCGCTTTTAAGGCAAGGGAGGCAGTTTTAAGGCAAAGGAAACATCTGCTCTGTTTGTTTGTTCCCTTGAAACAGAGAGTGGATCAGCGACCAGGGACAGGATGGAAATGAACTGCAGACCACCCCCAGCTTTCGAGCACATGTCGCAAAGAAACTGGCAGCCATCCTGGACAGGTAGCTGCAGGTATTTTATTAAATATCCTTTGTTCCTTGTGACTTAAGACAGTTTCTGAGAGCTTTTCCCAGAGGAAAAAAGCAAACATTTTAAAGAGCTGTAAGCGCTCTCGTCATACAGGGATTCTTGTGTATGAGATTGAAGGCTCTTCTCATGCTGTGCAGGGAGTTCCTGTGACAGGGAAGTCACTCGTGACTTATTCATTTATGTACTTGTTTGTTTTGATTTGTGCCTCAGCTTTCAAACCAAACGCAGTGCTCAAGATGATTTACATCATTAAATTGATGAGGACAATATATTAAAATCCAGTCAAAACATAGCAGTTACCACAAGCCCCTCTGAAGGTAGCATTCCCACAAGGAGGGCCTGGCGGAGGCGCTTATGAGCCAGGCAGGCTGTAATGGGAGGAGGCCGTCCTGGGATGTTCACTCTGCACGGGGTCATGGCCAGCACTCGGAATTCCTCCCAGAGACAGACTGGCAGCCAGGGGAGCTGCTGCAGAAGGGCGGCTGGGTGCTCCCGGCAACTGACCACTGCAGCCCACTCAGAAGCGTTGCGTGTGGCGGCAGGTTTGGGTTGGAAGGCCAAGCCATCCTCAGCCCTACGTCTGCCCTGCAGCGTGGATAGAGGAGCACATGGCAGGGCTGGCGGAAGCCCACCCGCTCCTTCCCCACTCGCAGCCCCATCATCTCCGTCCTGATGTGTCCAGCAGAGGTGGGCCCGTCCTCTCCCACCCAGGCCCTCCAGATGTGGTGGGCTGGAGCAGGAGGGGGATCCTCCCTGGCGGAGATTGAGCGTTGGAATCCAACACATCTGGGCTTAAATTATTCTTCAGAAACAAAGGAGGCTTAACTTAGAAAGCACTTGAACTCCTGTTTTGCTGTACCGCTGTTCGGTGGGAGATGTTACTACCCAATCACAGATGCGCAAAAAGGCCTGGACTTCTCTTATGGGCAGCTTTTAATTCTGTCCCTGTGGGGGAGGAAAGTGGCTTTCATCTCTGAGCAACGGTGACTCGCATGTTTCCCCGTGTCTGTCTGTCTGTCTGTCTGTCTCTCTCTGTCTGTCTGTCTGTCTCTGTCTCTCTCTCTCCCTCTCTCTCTCTCTCTCTCTCTCTCTCTCTCTCTCTCTCTCTCTCTCTCTCTCTCTCTCTCAGTGTCACTGCAGGTGAGTCTTTGCTGGCTGCAGCTGCAGCAGATGGAAAATGGCTGGTCCCCCACAAAGGGGGAAAGGCAGATAGCAGACCCCATAACTCTGGCTCCCAATAGGTTAGGGGTGTGACTTTTGGGGGAATAAGAAAGCCAGAAAAATTAAGGGGGCAAGCATCCCCAGGGAGCCATGGACCAAATGGAGGCCACGGAGGCATTGGCAACCCTTGTCTGTGGCTGAAAACAAGCAGCACCATAGGAAGGCCATGCCTGGGCCTGCCCTGCCCTGTCCTGCCCACAGCACCCGGAATTTTAAAGGGAGCCCCAGTAACATGATGCCTTTTCCCCCTGTGCAAACGCGGCTCTTCCTTTCAGTTCAATTAGTCCTGTGGAGCCCCCGCCCTGGCCAGGGCCGAGTGATGTGACCGTCTCGGAGACAGAAGACGATGGTGAGTCGTCCACCAGGGCCAGCATTCCCTGGGTGCTCTGCTGGCTGCCCTGGGAACTCGGGCCCAGCAAGTGCTTCTTGAGAATGGGCCCTGTGCACGCAGATCTTGCGGGGGCCGCTTCGGGCATGGGGGGGCTTCATCAGGCTCTCCAGGGGCAGGTGGCTCGAAGCCCGCGGGCGAGACAGGCCTGCTCTCGGGCCAGGATTCCCCTCCTGCCCCGCCGTTGGTCCACAGAGCAGCATGCAGCTGTGCTTCTGGCCTCCGGGCCCTTCCGGGCGGGGTTGACCCCGTTGCCTGCAGCTCACGCCCCCCCTCCTTTGTGTCCAACGGCTTAGGCTTTCGCCTCTTTTCTTCATCTGTCCCCGGAGACTGTGGGACGCCGGAAGCTTTGCCCCCCGGGAGGAGGCGGCTGCAGCGCTCCAGCTCCAGGTGAGCCCTGCTCCACTGCATGTGCTGTTGCCAGGACTGGGCCCTCCCGCCTGGGGGCCTCTTGGCCTGACAGGGCGCCCCTGGCCTCAGGCCAGAGCATTCCTCCTCCAGCTGGCCAGGCACCCTTGCTGTGCATTTGGCACCCCGGTGGAGAAGGGGAGCGGCCCACGATTGCTCCGTCACCCCCTTGTCCTCAGCAGTGCGGGCAAGCAGAGGTAGCCGCCCCAACCGCCACAGGGGGCAGGACAGTGCCCAGCACCTCAGCCGCGGCCCACTTGTGACGAGGGGCTGCGAGGCTGGGGACTGGCTACCATGGGGGTGCTGGCCATGCCCCCTTACACTGCCTGCCCACAGGGCCTTGCCAGACCAGCCCAGCCCGGCAAGGCCCACTCGAGGGGCGGACTCTGGCCCACGGGGTATGGTGGCAATCCTGTGTCTGTGCCAGCCTGCTGCTCAGAGCAGGCCGGCCAGCTGTCCGGGGGCGGCAGCACCCTCCCATCCACGTCCTGCAGCAACAGGGATCCGGAGGCACGCTGCTGCCAATTCTAGAGGCGGCCGCCTCCCCCAGGATGCTGCCCTTCTCGCTGCAGGGGCCTGGCCAGCGAGCAAGGCCACCGTTTGCCCTTCGGGGCGCCGTGTGCACTTCCGGAGTGTCTGTTGGAGAAAGGCTGCTCTCCTCCGCCTTGGCGATTTTAGGGTGGCGCAGAGGCCCAACCTCTAGTCTCTCCAGAGGAACGTGTCAGATTCCGAGGGGGAGCGAGGGCAGAGCAGGGCAGATGACTTGGCGGTCTCAGGGTTACCGTGTGAAGCTACTTGGAGCACATGAGCTGGCCTTCCTTGGGAGAGAGGGAAGCATTTCATAACCGGGTTGGGAAGGAGACAGAGGGGGAGTTCCCTGGCCCTGTCAGGTGGCACCAGGCAGACTGACTGGGACGTGTCAGACATTCCCACCGTCCTGCCCTCAAGCAACAGGCGTCACCCTGAGGGCAGAGTCAGAACCTTTCTGGATGGAGGGGAAATTCAGTTTTGATTCAGCTTTTACATGGGCAGATGCTACTTCCAGATCACAAAAGGAGCATCACTTTGATTAAAGCCGTTTATAGCTGGTAGAGCTCAAAGGACTGCCTGCGCTTTTGATTTTAGCTCTGCCTTTGGATTCCTGATAGTTGGCCACACTGACTCAGGCTGGTGAATCTGGAGCTGTCAGTTGTTATCTTTGTATCTTGCTTCAATTGTTTTAATACATTTTGTATACCACCCTATGCTTTGATCCTGAAGGGTGGCATATGAATATTTAATTGACGAATAAGTGTGCCAAGGCTGCTGGCTGGGGGGCGCTGTCCCAGGCCACGGGCCCCTCCCGAGTCTTGCATTCAGCCCCGCAGTGGCTCCGAACGGAGCCCACCGAGCAGCAGGAGGCCATGGGCCCCGCACCATTCCCTGCCTTGTCTGTGTCTCTTCCAGCGAGCTGGACAGCGACCAAGAATGGCAGAGATGCCGGGAAGCTGCTGTGATGGCCGCAGACATCCTCAGGCAAGGTGGGTTGCTGATGCCATTGCAGGATTGCAGCCAGAGCTGCCAGGCCGCAGTGCCCCCCGGAAAGAAGACAGTGCCCGAAGCACAGAGAACACGCGACAAAGAGCAGGAGGCAGTCGGCACGGCACAGAACGGCCGAGCCGCTGCCAAGACGGAGGGCTCCTCGTGCCTTGGTGTAATGGCGAAGAAGAAGAAGAAGAAGAAACAGAAGAAAGTCCACACAGAGTGATGGTTCCACCAACCCCTGGTGCCAGGGAGAGCTGTTGGGTTGTGGAGGGTAGCCCTGTCGCGCCATCAGCAGAAAGGGGCTCTGTGGCGTCGTAAAGACGGGTGCGCTGATGCTGGTGGCCCTGGGCTGCGTGTCCTAGCGGGTGAGCAGAGGAACAGGCCGAACGAGTGACTGCGCTGTTGGAGCAAATGGGCTCTCCGCCGGGCCCGCCAAAGCAGCTGCTCCAACCAGCAGCGAGGAAGTGCCTCCTCTCCATTCCCGGCATGTGGCCACCAGAACACGTCCCCCATGTTCCACTGCCTGTCTTTGAGGTTCTGCTCAGAGTGGAATGCGGCTTCATTTTTAGAGACAAGCATATTCTTTCAGTGCTCCCTCCCAAATTTATTTTTTATTAAATCTGTCAAAGGGCATTAGAATTTAGCAAGAGCTGCCTCTCCAGGTCTTTACTATGAAAGGTCTCCTTCTTCATTGCACACTGGTGCCTGGTGGGTAATGTGAGAGGACCAGTTCTGCAGTGACTCGGTTGCCCTCGATCTCGTAACCCAGTTTCTGCAGCAAGACGCCTCTCGAGTCAGTGACTGTCTCATAAGCTGGGGGTGCCGAATTGTCTTGTTCTTGGGTGCATTCTGCCTTCCCATCTTGATGGGTGGGTGAGGCTGGATGGGCCACGTGCCCTTCAGCACAGCTCGGGCTTCGCAGACAGAATCCAGAGGCAGATGTTTAAATGGGGCTGCTCTCGCAACAGGCAGCATTTTTACTGTTCCCAAGGAATGGAACTAAAGCCAGGATCAAAAACTGATGTAGTTATAAGAGGCCAAATGAAAGCGATGCTCCTGCAAGCCTCCAGAGACCCAGATATCTCAAGGGACTCAGCTGTCTGCTAGAACATCAATTCTTACAACTGCTGACTTGCAGGTAGCACTTTCTAGGGCGCAGCTGCAGGTTCGGCCTCATCCTGATCTCAGGTCCGATGTTGAAAGAGCTTGTTAAAATCTGCAGCTACTTGACCACCAAAGTAGGGAATGTCGCCTTCCCTCTTGGTGATGCTGCAGAAATGCGTTGCTCTTGTTCTGCCTTGTGCTGGCCAAGCAGTTCAAGAAGCATCTGGGTGGAACTTTGGCTGGCGCGTTACACTTGGGAAAACCTGAAAGCTCTGAAAAGTGAGTTACCCCAGTGCCTCCTGGAAAAAGTAGGTGAAATTTTGGGATATAAAACCCTGCTAAATTTATCTTGCCTAGGAAGCTCTTCCCCCACAGATGCACCCCTCTCCTCTCCACCCCTTTGAGTTTCTTCATCTAGCATTGAGAACTCGGCTGGCCCAGAAAGTGTGACCACTTCACTGGCAGTCTTACCAATATTCCCTTGTTATTTGCAACTTTTTGGATACTAAAAGTCCACTGGAATGTAGTTTTGCTGACTTTATAGGCAGGCAACATGCACAATACCCTTGCAGATACAACCCCCCCTTCTGACTTCCTGAAAATTAAATATATTTACATGGCAAAGCTGAGCAGGTCACCCTTTCTGGAGCACTTGCATGGCACCAAGACAACTCTGGTGACTGCAGCTGTCCAGTGAGGCATGAGGGACACCCCAAGTACAACTTGCGGGGCACTGGGGGCCGGCAGAAGCACACTGGCCCGAAGCACACTGCTGGCGCGCTCTGCTTCTCATTGATAATTTGCTTCCAGTTTTCCTTTGCTTGCTTTTCCCTCCCGAGTTTCCCGTCTAACATTTCGGATGTGACATTTTGGTTCCATGCTAGCAACAAAGAGATCTTGGCTCTTCCTGCTTTAACGCAGCATTGCCACTTGGAGAACTGGCTCAGCAGAAGCCAAGGGTTAGGCTCATGTGTCCTACACAAAAGTCTCAAAGTGAAGGAAAACTGAATCCTGCAGTTTGGAAGTAATGTAATTTTGACCATATTCTGCATTTTTTTGCTTCTGATGGATGCCCTGCACAATATTCACACCCAGCATCCTCTGTCGTCTGTGCAAGGGGCTTTTCAGGGTGGAAATCGGGAGAAATAAGAGGCTGAGAGCTGGGCGAGCAGATTGAAGATACGTGCTTCAAGTAGAACGTTCTGTGATAAGAAATGGCTGATTCTACCAGTGGTTAAATTTATGCTTGCTCTGGGTGTGGCTGAGGTTCTGTTGAGAATCTTTGCTTGCTAGAAGAAGAGGTTTGGGGCTGATAAGATTCAGGGAGGAAAGAACTAGGTGCAAAGTACACTGTCGGAAGTCCTCCTCCCTGACTAGTGGAAATTTCAACCAAGCACCATCTTATTTTTAAGCAATTTGTGGAAACTGCTCATCCTCTTTGGATATGCTAGTTTTTTTGTTTTGAGGGGCAGGCAGGTTACAACTATGAGGACTAGCAACTTAGTTTGCTTTTTTTTTTTAAATGGAAAATTAAATTCTTAGAGTCCAGTCTAAATTACCAGTATCTGCATGGTCACCCAAGTTAACTGCTGATTCCTTGCCTGGGCTTTGAGCACATCATTTAATAACACTTTGAGCTGAAAATACTTATCTTCGTTGGGATTTCAAAGCGGACTGGGCCTTTCTTTCCTAGCAAAAGCAGGCAGTTGGCAGGCACTCAGAGCACGGTGGTCGAGTTCCTCAACACAGGCACCAGCGCACCTTCAGGCACCCCTGTGGGGTCCGTGGGTATTACCCCACGGCCTCTGACCCGCTGCTTCCTGGACTGGCCCTCCTGCAGTTCCCCCCTTGGCCAGGCCTGGGGGCTGTGCGCGCACAGGCGGGGCACAAGCCTTGACAGAAGCAACAGCCACTTTTCTCCAAGGCTTGGTGCCCTGGATGTCCAGCAGGCTCTGCGGCCCTTTCAATGGGATGGGCTCCCGCCACAGGAAAGATACCCCCGCTTGCACGCCGCGTGCCTGCAGCACAAGCGTGCGTGCGTGCGGAGAGGAGAGGAGAGGAGAGGAGAGCGGGAAGCGCATCATCCCTCGCTGCTGTCGCCCGGCCCGCTGTCGGGCTGGCTGGCTCCTGCCTGCCCTGCTGCACTGGAGGACGGAGCCCGGCTCTCCTTTGCAGGCCTGTCCTGGCCCGCCCTGCCTGTCTCAAAGGCTCTGGGCAGCACGCCTGCCGGCCCGGCCCGGCCCGGCCCACCCTTACCACGGGCCTGATGTAGATCGTTCTCCACGGTGCAGCCCCACCCAGAGCTCGCAATGGGGGCACGGAGCCAGGAATGGCACGCAGCGGGGAGGCGGCGACAAGGGGCGCCTGGGTGGCCTTCCCGTCCGGGGCGGCGCAGGCGGTGGGGTGAGGAAGGCGGCCACTTGCCCTTCGGTCAGCAGCCAGCAGTTGTCCATGGTGCTGCGGCTACTGCGTGGAGGATGCCATCTGTGTGGAAATGAAGGTCTCTATAACGCCCTGCGTGGGCGACAGCACGTGGCCGCCGGAGGAGTCGTCGCTCGGGTAAAGCACCAGGCTGCCGGAGGCGGCTGTGGGGAAGCACGCGCACGTGAGCGGAAGCGTGTCGCTCCCCCACTTCCCCCACCCACACAGACCTGTGGGGGCTGCAGCACTGAGCCTTGACCGGCTTCGCCACCTAAAAGGGACCCCGGTCCATCAGGTGGCGCCCCCATTTCCTCCGTGTGCCCTTCTGACCCAAGAGGTGGCAGGCAGAAGCCTCTTTGGAGAGGCCTGTTGCCAGCCTTGCCAAGGCTGCGGATGCCCCTCTGGAGATGGCACCGGCCCAGGAGCGCCTCTGCTCTAAGAGCAAGGGGTGCTTCCCCCCACCTGAACTCTCCCTGTGCAAACATCATTGATTTGACACAAATTCAAGGGACTTGTTGACCCAGATTTAGTGAACAGAGCCAGGCATGCAGAACCTGCAATCTTCCCAAGATCAGTGGACTTCAGCCCCCATCATCCCCGTTCACTGGCTGTGCTGGCTGAGGCTGAAGGGTGCTGTGCCCCAACAGCAGCAACTGGCAGAGCCCTTATGTATTCAGTTGCTGCAGTTTTCTCCTCAGGTTGACATGACAATTACTGACTTTTAAAAGGATCAAGAACTTCCTTTGGGGATCTCTGCCCAAGGAAGGGTTCCCACGAACACCCAAGAGCCAACGATGCAAAGAGCCAGTAATGCACTGGGGAGAAAAGGCGGCACTCTGGAGCAACAGCTAATGTGGCACGAAGAACAGACTTTCAGCAAATGACTGGATGGCCAATTTGGAGGGGTGGATGCTGCCCCGGGGAGACCTGAATTCAAATGCCCCCGCAGCCGTGGGGCTCACCAGGTTGTCCTTGGACGAGCAAAGGCCATTCAGAGCAGTCCTCGGGATATACCAGGCTAGTTTCAAGTACCTGTCCCCTGAACTGGTTGAAGAAAGGGGCTTGGCTGGCCGGCCGGCTGGCTGAGATCAATAGAAGAGGGTGTGGGTATTTAGGGCCACCAACCCACTTGAGCAGGGAGATTCCCACCCCACCCCACCCCACCCCAAGATTAGACTGACACATTAAGGCGTGAGGAATGGGTGAGACTTGCCCTGCTTGTGGATGGCACTTGAAATAATTGCTCTTCACTTTAGTTCAGCGCAGGGACATGGACTGACTACTGCAAATAGTTTGGGGAATGAACTGATACGGACGTGGCTGCCCTGCCAGGAAACAAAAGCCCCTCCGAGTTACCCGGTAGAAGACTCTGGCAGGGAGAAGCAGCATTGCTCTTCTTACCTGCAGGGCTCGAGGTGAGGCGATGGCTGGGCTGGAGGTGCTGCAGGGCGGCGTCCTGGTTCTGCAAGTGTATGGTGGATGCTGGCGTAGGTGGCGTGTCCATCCCTGGCTCCGTGTGGGTCTCTGAGTCTGACGTGAAGACCTGGCAGAAAAAGACACACACGGAAGTTTTGGGGCATGTTAGCAGGTACCTGGGTAGAACAGAATTCTCCTGTTGCAAGGGAGACGCTGATGGATTAAAGGTGAGCCAGACCACAGGACGCTGCACACCCCCAGGTCAGCCAGCAAAGCAGATGGAATCGATAAAACAAAAGGTCAGGTTGCTTACCTGTAACTATGGTTCTTCAAGTGGTTTATTTATTTAAAACATTTCTATGCCGCCCCATTCGCCAAAGCCTCGGGGTTGTCTGCACTCACACATATTCGGGGGCTCTACCTGTGCAGGGCCTCTTCATGAAGATTTCCAAGCTATGCTCGTGCTGGCAGAAACCCTCCCCATCGGCCCCCTGATATATCTAGGGGGGTCCCCTCCCTTTTCCTCAGTTCTTTCAAGACTGACATTGTGGCCTCGGAACCAAGGGGAGGCAAGTGAATGACCGCCCTGTACCAGACGGATCTGGGATTGCGGGGAAGACATGGTACCAACGTTGGCTGGCACCCACACAGGGCGGTGGGTGGGTTGTGTGAATGCACAGGTGTCCATTCGAAGAACGACAGGCACCAGTAAGCCACCCGACTTCCTTCTTCGTGCTCTCCGTGCATCACACCTATGGGTGCCTAGTGAGCTCGCCTCAAGTCAGAGGTGGGCGGGCGCCATCTAAGAGGAGGACCATGGAGAGAACTGCTCTGCCGAAGGAGCAGCCTTGCCTGGCAAGAGGTCCAGTCGGTAGAGCCTGCCGCGGGCCGACGGATGGGGTGGAGGGATGTCTGCCTGCAGCGACGTCGAGGTCGCCACCACCCTGGCCACGGGTGCTCTGGGCCGCTCGGGGAGCAGCAGTCCTGCGAGCCAGCAGGCCAGCGCAATGGCCTCAGCCACCCAAGCACAGGCCGTGGGGAGCTGCCGGGCTGCCTGGGATCCCTCTCCGTAGCATCTCTGGGACTGGCGAAAGGGCTCAGCACGGGACCCGCCAAAGGCACGTGCCCTGGAAACGTCCAGGGCATGCAGGAGAGGGAGGATTCCACTGGGAAGGAGCCCAGCAGAACGGCGTCCTGGCTCGGGTGAATTGGCGACGCCCCCTAAGGGAGGGAAAGGGCCCCGGAAAGAGGACTGCCCTGTCCTTACGGAAGGCGAGGAATGGTGGATCGATGGGTAGGGCACAAGGCTAACAGGCCTGTCCAGCTGACGGGACGGCCACAAGGAACAGGAGCCTCAGGCCCGTGGGTGTGTGAGAACCTGCCGAGGCCCCAAGAGGCTCCAGCGGGGGGCGGGGGGGAGTGACAGGAGCTGTCGGGCGCGATGCTGCTGTCCTCTGCAGAATTGGCGCGGCAGTGGATGAAAGAAGACTGATCGGGAGACAGAACGGTGCAACGGCTGCCAGGTGCACCTTGACGGGGGATGGTTTCGCTCCTTGGACTACCCAGTATGAAGGAAGTGCAGCCAGAGGATCTGCAGACAGATCAACAGCTTCCTGTCAGGCGAACGTGGCAAGGGCACCCCACTTTGCCGCACACAATCACCTCATAAATGGGCTGGGGGCGCATTCGCAACTGCCCTGACTTTGGCCCGAGGGGCAGCGCCCTGGTTCAGGGGCTGGTCTGCCATGCAGCCAGGCACGCAGTGGGGCTCTCGGGAGGAAGGTCATCCCTTGGTCCTGGGAGATACTGCCTGGCCTGCACGGAAGCTGGAGAAAGCCCTGTGGGACAGGCAGAGGAGGGGCGGGAGCCCAGCCTGCTGGGCCCCCACAGGATGATCTGGGGCAGCAGGTTCCGTCCCTGCAAAGCTTTGCAGCACCCCGTGACGAGCGGGAATGTGAGGAAGAGGTAAAACCGGCCCCGTCCACGGGAGGCAGAGCGCATCTCCTGCTCGGGCCGCAGCAGCCGCGGACTGCACTGCCCCGTGGCAGAGGGCCGTGGGCACGCCCAGCGGCGGAAGCCCCGCACCGTGTGGCTCCCGCTCACTGTCCGCCGTGGGGCACGGCAAGGCCACGGTGGCTGGGTCAAGCACAATGGCGGCGTTGCCCACGGGGACCGGCACTCGCCGGTCCTGAAGGCCGAGCTGGCAAGTGAGCAGGGCTTGCAGCACAGCCAGGCGCTCGAGGCAGTGCATGTGCCCCTTCCTGTCCCGAGCAGTCCACACGTCCTGGGTCCCACAGGTCTCCCAGTGCACCCCCCGTTTGTGAAGGGAGGCGTCGGCCGCCAGTGCAACATCCGGCCCCAGGGGCACGAAGGGGCTGGCCCAGCCCACTCTCACTCCAAGTCTCGCTGCGGCTGGGAGGTGTGCGCCAGCGGTAGCTGGGGCAGAAACGCCCAAGCCTGGCAAACGGGACAGCCCAGCCGGCCACCCCAACGTCCTGGAGCCGGTCGGAAAGTCTGAGGAAAGGGAGGCCAGGGCCGCCAGTCGGTGGCACCAGCGCACAGAATCGGCTGAGACGGAGGACGGGCAGACCTGTCCTGACTGAGACAGGCAGAGGGTCAAGGAGGTTGCAGGTGAGGCAAGCCCCGTCAAGAAGCTTGCTCCTGGGCAAAGCGACAGACGGCCAGTCATCAAGGCAGAGCCCTTGCCTGGAGGTGGGAACAGGCAGCCACCATGCTTGGGGGCAGTACATAGTCCGAATGTTAGCACTAAGAACTGGTATGTCTCCGAGCTGATTTGGAAATAGAGGAAATGTTTGTGTGCTTGCCAAATTGTAAAATGAAAATAGGCACCTTACACATCTGTCAAGGTGAACTAGTCTGCTTGGTGCAGCAGAGGTGGAATGTTTGGCAGGAATGTCATCCAGAGCTTCTTTGGTGGAATAAAGAAGTTGACGTCTTTGAGACTGAGGCTGGGTGTGAACCATCCTCCTCCTCTGGGCCTGTAAAGTACTGAGAGTAGGAACCATAATGAGGATCAGAAAGGGGCCCGGGTTGAGGAGCCGATGGGGGCCAGTGTCGCTGACCGCACGAACCCAGGAGGTGGTACAGTCTCCAACTCAATCCTGTATCTACTCTCCACTACGAAGAGTGCCCACCTATCTAATGTTACGCTTCCCAAGCAGGAAGAGGGGTGAAGAGACATCCATCGGGGGGCAGGCTGGCTGTACACTGCACTAGTCCGTGCCACCCCTTGTTGGTGTCCCGTCTCCTTTTCTACTGGAACCGAGAGGCGGTGTCCCTCCTTACTTGGGTGGTTGGCTGCTGGCGAGTGGGGTGAGAGTACTGGCCCCTGGATGGAGAGCAGGATGAAGGCCCTCCCGTCGAAAGATAAGTCCTCTAGCCAAGACTGGGTTTTTTGGGACAGGCTCACTGCCCAGAGCCAGGCATGGCACTGGACCTCCACCACACCAACCACAGTCACAACTGACAGGGTGATGGGCTATGTTAATCTGCAGCCTTGAAAGATAGAGGGCCTTGGACTGGAATACCCAAGCGAGATCTCGATATTCTCTGGGAGCTGCTGCACGAGGGATCCCATCGTCTCCCAAAGATGATCCGATCCCAGGTCATGATTGCCTCGTATTTTGAGATGTGAAGGTCCAGGGCTGCTGAGGCAAAGATCCAGCGCACCTTCGACTCCAGCCCATGTTCCTCTTCATTGGCCAGTGCTGAGTGTTCTCTCTGGGAGCATCCTGGGCCAACACCACAGTGGCCCCTGATGACACAGTGCCTGTCAACATCAGGGTGTGGGCAGGTGACAAAGGGACACGAGCACGAGGACCCAGGCAATCAGGGAGGAGTCCAAAGCCCAACGCAAATCGTAGCAAGCAGTCCGAGGGCAGTGCCAGGCAAGTCCAGCCCAAGAGGCAACAGTGCGGTCAAGCAAGCCCGGGGTCGGGAAGCCAGGTGGGGCCCAGGAGCAGGCTCCAGGGACAGGAGCAAGGTCCACCTCGCAGCAACCAAAGGGCACTGCAGCAAGTCTCAAAGCCTCTGTTGCCAAGGCAGCTTCTGAAGGAAGAGCCAGTCCTCAGATCGCTCGCCTCCTAGGAGAAGCTCATGCGAGCCTGCAGCAGACTGTAGCAGCGGTCCTGCAACTCCCAGGGTTGCTGTTCTGGTGGCTGGCCAGCAGATGGAGCCCCGGAGCTGCCTCAGATCCTGACAGTACCCCATGATCTGCTGATGAGCGATCTGGTAAAAAGCGGGCTAAATAGAACAGCTGTTAGGTGGGTCCACAGGTGCCCACAGAATCAGACTTAAAGGGTGCCCATCAACAGCACCCTCTCAGACTGGGGAGAGACAGCAGGTGAGATGCCACAGAGTTCTGTCCTGGGCCCAGTGCTGAATGATAAAGATAAGGAACTACAGAGAAAGATAATTAAACTTGCAGAGGACACAGAACTAAGAGGCACAGCCAACACCATGGAAGACAGACAAAAGAACCAGGGTGATCATAGGTTAGGACACTGGGCTGGGAATAACAGAGTAAAATTCAACAGGGACAAATGCCAAGTCCTCCACCTAAGAAATCAAATGCATCATTACACGATGGGGAACACTTGGTTGAACAATACTGAAAATGAGATGGATCTTGGAGTTGTTGTAGATCCCAAGCTAAACATGAGCCAAAAATGTGATGTAGCTGCAAAAAGAGCAATAATGCAGCTATTTTAGGCTGCATTAATGGTAGTATTACTTCTAAATCATGTGAAGTACTAGTTCTCCTCTACTCAGCACTGGTTAGACCTCACCGGGAGTACTGTGTCCAATTCTGGGCACCAAAGTTTCTAAGAATTTCCAAAAGGATGTAGAGGAGAGCAACAAGGATGATCCAGGCACTAGAACCTATGCCCTATGAGGAAAGATTGAGTGAACTGGGCATGTACGGCCTCGAGAAGACAAGACTGAGGGGTGATAAGACAGCACTTTACAAGTACCTGAAAGGCTGTCACAAAGAGGAAGGACAGAATCTCCTCTCGATCATCCCAGAGTACAGGACACAGCATAATGGGCTGAAGTTACAGGAGGCCAGATTCTGGCTAGATACCAGGAAAAATTTTCCTGACTGTCAGAGCAGTATGACAATGGACCCGATCCGGGCTCTCCCACACTAGAGGCATCCAAGAAGTGGCTGAACAGTCATCTCAGTGGGTGGTGCAGCTTAGTGTCCTGCACTAGGAGGGTGTTGAACCCAGTGGCCTTCTCCTTACAACTCTAATATTCTGAGGTTCTATTGCCAGATTTGGCCTGGGGTGCTGCAACAAAAACCAGACTGCACATCCTTGGACCCAGTACGTGTCTTCCAGATGCTTGGATGTTGGATGCAGCTGCACTGGTGTCTTCCAAGCCTGCTTCATATAACTCAGGAGAGTGGTGGGCAACGGGATCAGGACGGGCACCGCGCGCTTCATCCAAACAGCTTCACGTACCGGATCCACAGGCTTCTCTGAATGTTGCTAAATCACCAGACTGAGGGGAGGAGGATCCCTAAGAACACCAACCACCCAGAGGATTTGTTCCAAAAAAGTCCCAGGTCTTTGGAGGGGGATCCCAGTTCTTCCGCCTTGAGGACTTCTTCTGGCAAGGAGGTCACAGGATGGCTGAGCGGAGTGGTTTCTGAGTCCGAGACACAGCCTTCAGGGGCCGAGGGAGTCAGGCTGCAGTGGCCAAGCAGCTGGCAGGTGGCTGGCGATGGAGGGTGGGACAGCGCTGCTGGCGTGCTGCCTCGCCCTTCCCCTTAGCAGCCTGGAGAGTCACAACGACAACTTCACTGGCCGGAGAAGCTGCACTCCTCCCGGACCGGTCGACAAGGCACTGGGGTCAGCCAGGGGGGCCCTCCACCCCATGTGGCGAGCAGGGATCTGCAGCGCTCGCGTGGGAGCCGATCAGAGGCTCCAGATAGCGCTGGAGAACAGGCACGGGCCCTTCGCGAAGGAATGGCAGCAGCCAGACAAGGGGGCAGCAGGGGCGTCCCACAGCGTGGAGATGGGGACAGCACCCTGCTCAGTGAAGCCTTGGAGTGGAGGCGAGGAGGGTGCGCAGCAGCGAGCCTCGGACCCCGCCCTCCACAGCCGATGGGCTCCATGGTCAGGACAGCACAGATGCCCTCAGCTCCAGTCCCCAGGCAAGCACACTTGACACCAGGGGAAAGGGGTGTCCAGGTCGCTTGGCCTCCACACGTCTGCCGTTTTCTTGACCTTCTTGGCCAGCGTCTGAACTCAGCAGGCCTCGTCTGATCGCCCGAGCAGAGGCATGACCAGAGGAGCTCCCGCCACTGCTGCTGGTGGCCATGATGTAGCTGCAGCCCCAGTAGCAGGCGGGCGGCCCCTCTGCATGGCTGCAGCTGAGTCGGCAGCCTGGAGCGCGCAGCCCCAAGCCTCACCCGGCAGACCTCCCACAAGGCTCTTCTGTGCTTACTTAGCGAAGGCCCGGCGAGGGGACGGGCCTCTATGACGTGCCCCTCCCCAAGGTGGGAGCGGCACAGAGGGCCTGTCTGTGGAGGCAGGCTGCTCCCACAGCCCTCACTCTTCCAAAAGGGCGCCGTGAGCACCTTCAAGGGACAAAGGAGAGGAAAAGGGAAAATGGAGTGATGAAGCTTTGGGTGTGAGAGAGAACAACAACAGGGGGTTTTTTAAGGGTGGCTTAGGGTAGAAGTGAGGCAGAGATAGTCCAAGAAGGAACCTCAAATGCAAGAGAGACTAGCAAAAGAACAAATTACCCACAGAAAGTTCCAAGTCAGCCACAATGGAACTGAAAAGGGGGTGGGATGAGAGGGATTCCCAGAAGAATGGGTTAATCTTCCCCACAGAAGGCCCTGTGCAGGCATGGAGCCCGTCTGTCTGTCCATCTGTGGCACGGAGAACATGAGGGAGAACTCCAGGAACAGCCCCAGAGCCTCCTGCACGCGCCTCCACAAAACCAACGGAGGGTGGTCTGGAGGTGCTTCGTGTCCGGAGGGAACCTGCAGGGGGGGTCCCCCCAGAAGGTCACCCGCCGGTGCAGCTGCCTGGCTAAGCTCAAGTGGGAAACCAGAGGGGAGTTGGGTGGCAATGCACAGCAAACCAGCCGGGGGGGGGGGGCAGCAGCATGCAGGGCCCCCACAGCTGCTTCCCAGATCGCGTTGACTCATAGAAAATGCATCGGGAGAGTGAGCCCTAGCTGACTTAGCAGGATATTCTGCTGACTTCTGTCACAGCATTGTTCAATCTGGCACCTTCCAGATGTGTTAGATGGCAAGTCCCATCATCTCTATCCCATGCCACCATTACGCATGCTTGCTGGGGGTGATGGGGGCTGCGGTCCAGCACAGCTGAAGGGCACTGGGTTGGGGGAAACCTATTCTGTTGCTCAACTACGATTGCGAATCTATACCCCAGCATTTCCTGCACAGCTAGTTTTCTGCCGAGTTGGCTGCCTTTTCAACCTGCCTGCCCCCTCCTGAAAATACCTGAGAAACCCGCAAAGGCTGCTAAAGACCTTGTCCCAGCATCGCTCAATCATCTCGCCTTTCGTTGCCTCCCTCTTACCTGCTTGGTCGGGGTCAAGCTGGCCAAAGTGCCCAGGTTTGATGTGTCTGCTATCACCATGGTCTGCGGCAGAAGGCTGGCGTGGGCGTACTGAGCCGCCTCTGGCTTGTGGCTGTAGAGAGCTAGGTGGGGGTGCAAAGAAACAGTGGAGATTCTCTGTCACAAATGCAAACTAGTAGTAGAACAATTAGATCCTTAGGAAAATAACTGTTGTGGTTGATAAAGCGGAATTCCAGATGTCTACATAGAACATACTTACTTGAAATCATGAGAAAAAATTAGCATCATTGGGGAGGATCGCTCCCATAAGTGAAGGCAATTCCCCCAAATCCTTATAACTATTTCAAACCTTAACTATTTTCTTATCAACAAAATATTTGAAGAAATGGCAGGTCTGCCCTATAGAGTTCTAATTGGGGAGGATCGCTCCCATAAGTGAAGGCAATTCCCCCAAATCCTTATAACTATTTCAAACCTTAACTATTTTCTTATCAACAAAATATTTGAAGAAATGGCAGGTCTGCCCTGTAGAGTTCTAATACAAGAGGGCACAAGCACAGTGTCTCCACAAACACTTTCTAAGTACAAACTCTTTCTAGTTTTAGTTAGTAAGGTGGGGAGGCAGAGGAGAGCGCCGCCATGGATGCGAAAAGAGGTGGTTAGAGGGATTAGACGAAAGAGGAACCTCCATAGGAAATGGGTACTGGGGCAAATAGACAAAAGGATATACCGGGAGAAGAAACCCCATTGCAGAAGGATTCTTTGCAAGGCTAAGGCTGATTACGAGCTGAGACTTGCCAAGAATATCAAGAGCAGCAAAAAGGGCTTCTTTCAGCATGTAAATAGGAAGAGGAAGGGGAGACAAGCGGTGGGACCACTAAATGAGGAGGAAGGCGATCCAGTGACTGATATGAGGGAACAGGCACAGATGTTAAATGACTATTTTGCCTCTGTGTTCTCCCGAAAGCAGGACGGGGGAGATCTGCATGGGAGATTAGATGAGGCTGGGGACTTAGGGGCACAGATTAGAGTCACCCCCCCAGAAGTCAAGGGGCTCCTCAGGGCATTGGACATTACAAAGGCGCCAGGCCCTGACGGGTTACACCCAAGAGTATCTAGAGAGTTGGCAGGGTTCTCTCATGCCCACTGGCCTCCATTTTTGAGGCCTCGTGGAGAACAGGTGAGGTTCCAGAGGACTGGAGAGTGGCGTCAGTGGTCCCAATTTTCGAAAAGGGTAGTAGAAGGGACATGGAAATTACAGACCAGTAAGCCTTATGTCCATTGTAGGAAAAACAATGGAAAGGCTCATAATAGAGAGAGATCTAGTGATGCTAGATAGGGAAGGGAGGCTGACAGCCACACAACACGGCTTCCGCAAAAACAGGTCCTGCCAGACAAACCTTGTGGAATTCTATGACAAGGTTTCGAGATGGCTAGATGGAGGGGATGTAGTGGATGTGGTATGCCTGGATTTCAGCAAGGCCTTTGACAAAGTGCCCCATGATATCCTGGTGGAGAAACGGAGGAGTTTTGGGATACACCAACGCACTGTCCAATGGATTAGGGCATGGTTGACTGACTGAAAGCAGAGGGTAACCATTAGTGGGGAATCATCGGGATGGCAGCCAGTGACAAGCAGGGTCCCCCAGGGCTCTGTCCTGGGGCCAATCCTGTTTAATCTTTTCATAAATGACATGCAAGAAGGGGTGAACAGTCTGCTGATCAAATATGCAGATGATACTAAAACTGGATCAGTGGCCACGACTTAGGAGCAGGTACTCCGGATCCAAAAGGATCTGGACAGGCTATGGAAGTGGGCAGGAGACAACAGGATGGTGTTCAATGTGGATAAGTGCAAGGTCTTGCACTTGGGGCATAGGAATAGGTGTTGTAAGTACAGGTTAGGTGACAAATGGCTGGAGAGCAGCACTTGCGAAAAGGACCTCGGGGTGCTGGTTGACTGCAGGCTAAACATGAGTCAGCAGTGTGATGTGGTGGTCAAGAGGGCGAACGCCACCCTTGGTTGCATAGCCAGAAGTGTGGCCTCTAGATCAAGAGAGGTATTACTAGCACTCTATATGACTCTGGTGTGTCCACAACTGGAGTACTGCGCTCAGTTTTGGGCCCCTCATTACAGAAAGGATACAGCCAGGTTAGAGTCAGTGCAGTGTAGGGCCGCAAGGTTGGTGGCCGGTTTGCAGGGGATGGGGTATGAGGCGAGACTGAGGGAACTGGGTCTCTTCAGCCTGGAGGAGACTCAGAGGGGATCTGTTGGTGACATACAGGTATGTGAGGGGGTGTCACACAGAGATAGGTAGAGACCTGTTCTTCCCTGCAGAGGAAGGCAGGATGTGCTCCAACAGAGCAAAGCTCAGGGAACCAAGGTTGCATTTAGATGCCAGGAAGCACTTCCTGACAGTTGGGACCCCGAAAGTGTGGAATGGGCTTCCACAGGAGGTGGGTGAGGCCCCATCAGTGAGGGTGTTCAAAGATGGGCTAGACATGCACATGGTGGGCATGTCGTGAGAGGAGCCGGCTGGAGCTGGGGGTCAGACTGGATGGCCCAGGAGGCCCCTTTTGACTCGCTGTTTCTATGTTTCTGTGTACCATGGACTGGGTGGCTGAGACATTCTGGGCACTGGTACTTTCTATGACTCATTCCACCTTAAGCAAATATCTCCAATTTTAATGAAAAAATTCAAAAATAGCTGGATTAATTTGGAAGCCTGTGAAAAAGGTGTGGCAGAAATTAAAGTTGTGCCATCTAGATAAGAGAGATGGAAAAACCTGAAATTTATTCAACCCCTTTACTCAAGCAGTACTGGAAACTTGGAAGAAATGTTGTCATATACCTACTCCAGCACCATCTCCAATCACCCCTCTCATTCATAGAATCACAGAATATTAGAGTTGGAAGGGGCCTATAAGGCAATCGAGTCCAGTCCCCGGCTCAGCATGTAATCCCAAAAGAAAAAAAAATAAAGTAAAAATGCATGTTTCATTCATTGACAAATTTCAAATCCATCTTTCGACAATCATTGGTCTCCAGCATACACATGAAATTAATTTGGGGACTAGGGGGCCAGGAGGCAGACCAAAGCTGAGCTAGGACAGATAACTGAAGTAACAGTATGAGCCCAGCTGCAGTCAAGTGCACCTTTTAAATCTGGCTCAAGCAGAACAAAGGAAACTTAAGTGAAACTGGCGCAGCAGCTGGAATTTTGCTCAAGTGAAACAGAGTTACAGGAGAGACTCCCTATCCCAGAAATGCTGGGGGGTTCTGTGAACACTGGCACTCATTTGCATGTGTTGTGAGCACGTGCAAGGCTAGTTCCGGGAAAAAGTGCCGTCTCCACTGAGGTCACCTGACCCCCTTTCCCCAGCTGCCTCGGCAGGCGCCCCAGGTGGGGTGTCCCCGCCCAGCTCAGACCTACCGTGGGGAGCCTGGATCTGGGCCATGGTGGCCATGAAAGAGCTCTGGCCGAGGTGGCTCGGGACCTGCTGCATGAGAGGCTGCTGATACGGCGGGTGCAGCTGTTGAGAGAACTGGACCGGCTGCAGTGTGGCGAGGCTGTTCCCCATGCTGTTGATGACGGGGACGCTCTGCGCTTGTGTGGACGCGAGGCCTGGAAGACACACGTCGGGCCAAAAGCACCCTCCCACGGGCAGGGCCCTGGGAGGCCCCCCGCCAACAGCCAGCCGAGGCACCGCTGCGGGCTGAATGGCAGCACGGAGCCTGGCGGCTCTTCCGTGGCCAGGTGCCCACGGAGGCCCTTGGGCGCCTCCCCACTTACCAATGACCAGGGTGGAGGCCCCCGTGTTGGTGAACGCCGGCGTCAGCGCAGACGAGTCCCCCGCGCCGATCGCCATGACGCCAGGCAGGGACGCCATGATGAGGTTCTGTGTCTGTTGGCTCAGCGCGTGCGGGCTTTGCTCCAGGCCCTGCAGGGCGGTCAGGGTGCTCACCGGGGGCAGGGAGCCCCCTGGAAAGGAGATCTGCTCGTGGGAAAGGAAACAAGGAGGTCGGGCTGCTGCTGGGGAAAGCGCAGGCGAGGAAGGATGCTCACGGCAGGAGGCACGCGTGGCACCCGCTGGGTCAGGCCCGGGTGCAGGAAGCCCTGCATGGCAGACACTCCTGCCACGCGACTCTCCCTCCAGCAACTGGCTCCCCTGCTGAGCAGCACAAATCTGCCCGAGGGCACTGGTGCATGCCCGTCCCACTCGCGGGGCTTCGTGGGCAGTTGGCTGGGCACAGCAGGAATGGGGTGCTGGCTGGACACCCCAGCATGACCCAGCAGGCCTCTTCTCCTGGACCTCGTCTTTCAGTTAGCCATCGATACTCCTCTCCTCCATGAATTTGCCCAAGATCCTCCCAAAACCATCCGCACTGGCTGCCGTCAGTGCTTCCCGCGGCAGCGAATGCCAGCGTTTGACTACACACGGAATAAGGACGGACACAATCTGGCAGTGCAAAGCTCAGGGAGCCAGGCTTCAGGTTGGATGCCAGGAAGTACTTCGCACTGAGGATGTGGAATGGGCTTCCATGGTGGGGGGGGGGGCTTCAGGGAAAGACTGGACTCCCACATGTTGGGGGTCACGAGTGGAGCTAGCTGAAGCCAGGGGTCAGACTAGGTGGCCCAGGACACCCCTTCTGATTTGCTGTGTTTCTATGGAGTTCTCTAACCTGTCCTGAACCTCCCGTCACCCAGCTTCTGCGCTCTGGTATGAGGGAGAAAAATGCCTTCCCACACCATGCATAATTTTGAACACCTATGCCATGTTTTCCCTTCCTCGCCTTTTCTCCAAGCCTAACTGTCTCGGATGTTCTAACATTTTTTGTTGCACTTTTCCCAACTCCACAATATCCTCGTTTAGGCATGGCGATCAGAGTCGCAGTTTCCTAAGTGTGGTTGCACTGCAGATGTATGAAAGGGGAGTGCAATCCTGGCAGTTCCAGTTTCCATGCCATTCCCAATTCTGCGTAACGAGGCCGTGCCTTTCCACAGCAGCTGCGCACGCCTCCATCGGGCTGTGCTGCCCTCAGCTAGGCCTTTCTCAGCCAGGGGCCCCCGGCTCAGACCTCATCGGCTGCCCTGAAGCTGAGGTGTTGTTGCTTCACTTACTCTCGCTCGCTCTGAACGGCATTCGCCATTGTGACGCCCGCACTCCCAGCATGGAGGGAGGTCCTTTTGGAGAGCCCCACAACCCGTTTGTTTCACAACCCTAAATAATTTGATGTTATTCGCAAACCTGGGCAATGCACTATTCATTCCTAATTCTAGATCATTCATGAACGGGTTGAAAATCATCAGTCCCAATGTATTTCCCTGCTGACATCCCTTCACTGGGAGAATCCAGTTTATTCCTGTTTCCGTTCTTTAACCAGTTTGTGATATGTAAGGGGACTTTTTCTATGACTTCGCCATTTGCTCAGGAGTCTTTTTTTTGGGGGGGGGGACTTTGTCAAAAGCCTTTTGGAAGTCCAAGTAAACCTTGGTGAGACAGAATGTACTCCATGGAAGCCATGTTGATCCTCCTTCAGTACAGCTTGTCCTTCCTTATACTCGCTAATTTTATGTTTAATAGCATTTTCTACCAATTTTCTTGGAACTGCTCCAACTAGTTCCAAATCCTGATCCTTCTTGTTGCAATCAGTTTACCTAGAACAGACCTTTCCCTAACTGCACTGCTATCTCCTGAAAAACCCCAGGGAGGTTCACCTGGTGGCCTCTGTATATCCTTTTCAGCACCAGGCAAATACCTTTTTATTTCACCAGTATTTCAAATGATAACTTGATTTAAGCGGTGTATTTTAATGTGGTGTGCCTTTTATGCATTTGTAGGTCCTGTTAAGATGCGATAGGATATGCTTTTTATTGTTATTTAAGTGTCTGACATTGTGTTTTTAATGTTTTATATTGTTTTTTACATGCTTTTATTGTCTGTAACCTGCCTAGGGAACCATGTGGCTAATGGGATGGGCCAAAAATATAAATAAATAAATAAAACTCCTGAATCCCTTTTTAAAACTGGTGTTATCTTGATCTCTTGGGCTACTTCATATTTGAGTTCTTTAAATACTCTAACATTGATACCATCTGGCCCCAGAAGTTTATTAATTTTTCAATTTGTCAATAAAGTTGAGAATGTCATCTTTGGTCACCATGATTTCTCTCAGTTCTTTAGACTCCCTTCCTGACAACACCAGCTCAGGCCCAGGTATCTTTGCTGCATCTTCAGAAGTGAAGACGAAGGGAAATAACTGTTTCTCCGGAGTAACATCCAGATCCTCTTAGAGCTCCTCTCACTCCTCTCATCAAGTGCTCCACACACACCCCTGGCTGGTTTACTGCTTCTGATGTATTTAAAAGGTTCTTTATTATCAGCCTTGATGTTGTTAGTTATACACTCTCAAAATGCCCTTCTTGCACTTTGTCTTACCTGCTTGTATCTCCCATGTGCATCTTCTCCTCCGTCTTGCTATCCCAACTGGGGCAAGAGCCTTCTTTTCTCTAATAACTTCCTTGACCTGCTCCTTAAGGAGGCTGGTAACTGCCTCAAAGGGTTCAGGTAAGTTTGGATGTGGTGCCTCAGTGATTTTTACAAATTTGCAGGATAGATTATTATCTCATTTTGTTTGTGTGCAAACTAAGTGTAGGGAACGGAGCGGCTTGCTGAATGCCGCTACGTTAACAGACTGGGCCCATTCCTAGCCAGGAACCTCCCAGGTCCATGCCGACACCTTTTCCCACTGGACCGGACCGGACCAGCCCATCCCAAACTGGTACCCCCCCAGCTGTGTTGAAGGGCAGCACCCAACTTCTTCCAGCAGTCACACTGGCTCAGGGGTGGTGGGAACTGCTGTCCAGCTGGAGGGCACCAGGCCGACAAACAGTGTGATACCTCCCAGCGTGCACAGGAATGCTGGGTGCTCCCTGGTGAGCGAGTCTGTCTCCAGCACCATGCATAAAGCGAGGCTGCTAACAACCCCTCTCCCTGGGCTGTTGTGAGACAGGGCACAACCCACAGAGCGTCAAGCACCCCGCACACCCAAAAGCCTAGAGGCGGAGGAGAACCGCTTGGCCTGCTGCTGGGCAGGCACCTCTTCTGCAGCCTGGTGTGGCTGTAAGTTTTCTTCCTGTTTTGAAAGAACTTAAGGCTTCACTCCTAGGTGATGCTGAGAATTCAGCAGGCTCTTCTCTCCAACCTTCCAGTAGTGCCAAGGTCAGGCTGGGCTGCACTCACCAGTTTTGCTTCTGGGGCAGCACCGGCGCTGGCTGAGCACAGCCCAGGGGAAGAGACCTGGTGCAGGATGGTCTGTGTGGTCGCCGTGGAATTGCCTCCCCCGTGCTGGCTGCCGTTCGAGGAGTCCGCCTCACTGACGGGCTGCTGGCTGTACCTCAAGCCGGAATCAGGAAAGGGTAGGCTCTGCTGCTGCTGCTGCTGCAGGCCCGGCTGCTCTGGAGCAGAGAGAAGAGCACAGCGGCCGGAAGTCTCCCTGGGAACTTTGCTCAGCGCGGCCGCAGGCTCTGCAAGAGGCTCAGGGGCACTGAGGCCGAGGGCTTTCTCCATCCGGGAACGAAGCGGCGGTCTTTGGCGGGGCCCAGCAGGGCACAAACCGAGCCTAGCCTTGCTTAACCTGGCACTGAGCCTGCCCCACCGCCTTCAGCAATGCTCCGGCACCGCGCGCAGCCGAGGGTGCCCCGCGGGGCCGGCAGCCGCGTCCAGCAGCGTACGCGCCGCCGTACGCCGGGCCTTCGTGCTGGCTCGCCTGGGGAGAGGAGCCGGGAGGTCTGGCTTGGACGCCCTGCGAGAGAAGCGCGGGACAGCGCCCCCGCTTGCAGGCCGAGGCTGTCGGGTGCCCAGGCTCGCCGCGGGGTTGACGCGGCTGCCCCGCGCGCCGCACAGCCCCGCTCCACGGCCTGCGCACCGCGAGGGAGCACGGGGCGCGCGAGCCGCGGGAAAGCCGGGGCGGGCGCTCCGCGCGAGGCGCGCTGCGCGGCAGTTCCCGGGCTTGGCCTTCCTCAGCGCACGCTCGCCAGGGGGCCTGGGCGGTTCTCCTGCCTTGCCGGTGGCCGCGCCGTGCTGCGTCCGCCTCGCAAGGAGGCGCGGCGGGACGGCGCGGGCCGCGAAGACGCACGCGGCTATTGCGGAGCACCGCGCCAGCATCCGGCCTTTGCTGCCGCGAAGAACCGCCAAGCCGGCTGGAAAACCCGCGAGGTGCCCGGGGGCGGGGGCGGGGCCGGGGCGACGGGAGTCCGCGCGCGCGGAGGCGGCGGAGCAGGCCCTGCTGCACGCGGGGCTCTCCCGATGGCTTTCGCGCCGCGCCGCGACTCACCGTGCGCCTTGCCGGGCGAGAGCGGCGCCGCTGCCTGCAGCGAGGACGAGGCGTGGGGCGCCAGGGCGGGGGCGGCACCCGCCGGCGGCCCGCCGTAGCTGTCCATGGCCAGCTTGTGCCGGAAGGCCTCCTCCTTGCGCCGGTTGGCGAACCAGTTGTACACGCGCACCTCGGTGACCAGGTTCGAGCCCAGGCCCTGCGCCTGCGAGGGGGAGACGCCGCGCTGGATGCACTCCGCCCTGCCGAGAGAGCCGCGGCGCGGGTCAGGCGCGGGCGCATCCTTCGCGGCGGGAGAGGGCTCGGGGCCCCCGCCCGAGAAGGGGCGGAAGGGCTGGCGCGGCCCTCGGGTAGAGGGCCGGGCGTGGCGGGCCCTCCTGGGAACACCCGTGCGGGCGCTGCATTGGACGGGGCACCTGCGCCAGGGCCAGCGGCCACCCGCACAGGAGGCCCTAAACCGCGGCTGCGACTGCCTCCCACTGCCGCTGCCTCAGCCTGCCGGTATTTCAAGGCATGTACCGACATCAGACTCCTTCGTGGATCACTGCCTTGCCCTGGAGAAGGGGCTTGCGTAGCTCAATGAAGCTCTGAGCTGTGCTGTGCAGGGCCACCCAAGACGGACAGGTCATAGCAGAGAGCTCTGACAAAACGTGAGCCACTGGAGAAGGAAATGGCAACCCACTCCAGTACCCTTGCCATGAAAACCCCATGGACAGTTCTAAAGGGCAAAACGATTCAGGTCAGAAGGTGTCCACTGTGCTACTGGGGAAGAGCAGAGGGCTAGTACTAGTAGCGCCAGAAAGAATGAAGCGGCTGGGTCAAAGCCGAAAGGACACTCAGTTGCAGATGTATCTGGTGGTGAAAGGAGAGTCCAATGCTGCAAAGATCTATACTCCATAGGAACCTGGTATGTAAGATTCATGAATCAAGGCAAGCTGGATGTGGTCAAACGAGATGACAAGACTGAACATCGACATCTGAAGAATAAGTGAACTAAATTGGACAGGTATGGGTGAATTTAATTCAGATGACCATCAGGTATATTACTGCGAGCAAGAATCCCTCAGCAGAAATGGAGTAGCCTTCATAGTCAATAAAAGAGTAGGAAAAGCAGTACTGGGATACAATCTCCAAAATGACAAAAGGATCTCAGTTCGAATCCAAGGCAAACCATTCAACATCACAATAGTCCAAGTCTATGCCCCAACCACTGGTGCTGAAGAGGCTGAATTTGACTGGTTCCATGAAGGCCTGCAACACCTTCTAGAATTAACACCAAAAAATGATGTCCTTATCATCATGGGGGATTGCAATGCTAAA